GTGGGTTGCTACCACAAGGCTGGCGGTTTGATTCCACCAGCGGCTTCAGGGGAGAAAGGCCACGGGGCGGTTCTACCCTGTCCTGTAGGGCCGCCCCCAGGAGTTGACACGGTGGCAGTGGGGGTGGGGGGCGGTGGCCAGACTCACCAGGGCCTCCGGACAGCCCACATCCCTAAGAGATTGCAGCAGCCTGCCCCCACCCCCGCCGGGCGCTGGCCACCGGTGTGTTGCCCACAGGCTGTAGGAGGTGACATGGACACCGAATGCACCATCTGCTAACGGGGGTGGGGGATGAGCCAGGGGTGGCCTGGGAGGAGGGGGGCTTCACCTCCCTGGCCCTTGTGTAGCCCTGGACAGGAGGGGAGGGGTCGTGGTGAGTTTTCTAGAAGGCCCATGGTGTCCCTGGCTGTAACGGGGACACAGAGGGTGACATCACGCGAGGGGTAGGTGGGGCCCAGGACAGCAGAAGCCCCCAGCCCCCTGAGAGTCCAGGGTCTGGTGTCGGATACCAATGTCCTGAGAGGGCGGGGACATATCCCAGGACAGCCCAGGGGTCAAAGGATGCGGGTTCCAGAGAAGAGTCCCCTCACCGCCCCCGCCACCCCCCCTGCCCCCATCCCCACAGAGTCCTCAGGCTGGGACACAGGGAAGGGTCACCCTCCCTCTACAGTGCATTCTCACAGGGGGCCCGCTGCAGGGGGTCCGGTGGTTTGCATAGCGGGGACCCACCAGCCTCCACCCCCCACCCCCCCTCTGGGGTCCTGCATAGTGGGAGCACAGGGCCCAGCACTGGGTGCTGGCCACCCTGTGCAGCCACAGGTCCACTCTTGAGTGTGTCCTAGAGTGCCAGGCTGGACACCAGCTCCGTTTGGCTTCTAAGGAGCTGGGGCAGGGGCTGGCGATGGGGGAGGGTAGGCTGTGCCCAGGAGGGTGGCCCAGGGCCTGGGAGGGGTGGACCCCGGTCTGGGACAGAATGGGGAGCTGGCCTCTGTGGCCACACTGGCCGCTGGGAAGGAGCATGTGGGCGGGGCTCCTGGGGCTTGGCCCTCAGATATTCTAGCTCTCCTGGGGGCTGATGCCAGCTCATGCCCAGGCCCAGGCCCCACCCCTTGACTTGGGGCCCTGTTGCTACTGGCCTGGGTGAACTGCTGAGCCTGGTAGATGCAGGCACCCTGGTGGGGGCCTGCTGTGATCACGATGCCCTGCAGTCCCTGCAGACACTGCCCCAGGCATGGGCAGTCACGGGCCTTCCTCCCGGGGGCCTGCCAGCGTCTTCCTTGGTTCAGGGGGCACCCATCCAGGAGCAGTGGCTGTGGATGACAATGCACAGCCGTCGGGCAAAGCCTGAGATCCCCCAGTGTCAGCCCAGGTGTCTGGGCTGGGCCAGGGCCAGCGGTCCCCCTTCCAAGAGACCTAGTGACGGTGCTACTCATGCCTTGAGGGATGGGGCGCCTCTGTGTGGCCCTCTGACTCCGGCCTGGGGGTTGGGAGTGGGGTGTGGTGGTGTTGGAAGGGGCTGACTGGTGTTGGCCAGGAGTAGCATGGGTGGGGGGCAGCTGAGATGCTGAGACTATGTACTCCCTGGGCCAATGGGGGTGTGTGTGTCTGGGTGGCATCTGGGATGACTGTCAGACTGAAGGAGGACTCAGATTGGCTGAGAGGAGCCTGAAGCCAGGGTGGAGTTGGAGAAGAGATGAGGAGCTCCTAGGGCGGTTGCTTGGGCTCCCCTTAGTCCCCCAATTCCCAAGGCGGTCACATGCACGGCTCCGGGGGCCTTTGCTGCCAGACACAGAGCTCAGCCTCCACTCCCGACCTTGATGTGCCCCCAACCACCACCCCCGGGCGCCCGCAGAGCATGCTCTCAGGAGACGCCGCTGGAGGTGCTGGGCCGCAAGGGCCCAAGAGGGACAGCCTGAATGGGCCCAGGCGCATTACCCTTGGTGGGCTTGCCCACTGTGTTCTTACTAAAGGACCAACACACGCGCACATACACACACAACCCCCCACAAAACCACCCATGCTGCCTTCCTCCAGGTGCGCTGCAGGGCTGGGGCTGGTGCGAGGGCGTCTGCCACGGGCGGGGTGCGGTGGGGTGCGGAGGCCTGGTCTGTCTGTGAGTTTGTCACTCCTGAGTTTGAGGGGTCGGACAGTGTACCAAAAGGCACTTGCATTTTGTAAAAAGAGTGCTTCTGTTCTAAGAAATTCAAGTGGAGCCCGTGCCTCCGCTCTCGTCTGGGGCCACGCGGCCCGCGGGCGGGCAGGTGGGGCTCCGGACAGCACTGGGCGCACCGCCGCCAGCCCCCCTCCGGCGTCCGGCACGGCCCAGGCGGGCGGCCCGAGGCTGTGCGGTCACTCGTCCTCGCCGCCCCCGTACATGTCCGCCAGCTTCTTGAACCTGGGCCCCCAGTCGTTCAGGTAGTCGTAGTCCTGGTCCCCGGAGCTGGACGAGTTCAGGGAGCTGACGGAGCCCGCCGTGGAGCCGCTGCCCTCGTAGTCGAAGACCAGGAGGGAGTCGTACGGGGGTGCCGTGGGGTCGTTGTCGGCGGCGCGGAGGCCCTGGTCAGAGACACCGGTCAGGGGTGGGGTCGGACGGGCAGGAAGGGGCATCAGGGGAGGGGCTGGCAATGGTGCTCGGTGCGCGCGCCCGCAGAGAAGGGAACACAGTTCAGGGAGCAAAGGGGAGAGAACGACGGAAACAGTGGGAGAATGCTGGACAGCTGGACGCAGCAGATGGAGAGGCCAGCGGTGGTGACAGGAAACACTAGGAGGGAAGGGGACTGGGCTGTCCGAGGATGGGGCGGGGCTTGAGGATGGGGCGGGGCCTGAGAATAGGGCGGGGCCGTGTGGGGCAGGGCTTGAGGATGGGGCGGGGCCTGTGGGGCGGGGCCCGGGGATGGAAGGAGCCACGTGGGGCAGGGCTTGGTGATGGGCGGGGCCGTGTAGGATGGGGCGGGGCCTGGGGTTGGAAGAGGGTCCATGTGGGGCTGTGGGCGGAGGGGCGGGGCCACAGGCCTCTGCCTGAGCGGTGGGCGTGGCTTCACCCCTGTCCACGTTGCTCCTGTCCACCTCAGGGACAGGTGTGGGCGGCTAAGGAGAACTCCACCCCAGCCCCGAAACTTTAGCCTTTCAGGTGCGAGTCCCCAGTTCACTGGGACAGGAGCCACATGGCTCTGGAGACTGCGCCACACCGCAGGAGCGCCGGAGCCAGCCAGCTGGGACCTGGGCACGTCTGCCCCCCACCTGCTGGCCGGGCCCTGGCTCCACAGGCGGACTAGCGGTGCCCCTCAGCACTGGAGAGCCCCCTCTCTTGAGAGAGCCAGGGCAGTGCTTCACCCTGTGTGTGTGTGGTCAGAGAGGGGCCAGCACAGAGAGGCCACCCGTGTGACCGGGCTCGCTGCCATCATCCTTCCTGGGGGCAAGTGTCTTGGGTTGCCTGTCCTGCTGGGAGCCCAGGGCCTTGGACAGACTGGCGGGGAGGGGCTCTGTGCAGCCCGAGGGGAGGAGTCTTGGCCTAATGGTGGAATCTCAGACAGAGGTGGGTGCCGGGGGCGGGGGGAGTGGGGGTGTTCCTGGACCCATGGGGCACCTCAGTGCCAGCCCTGCCTGGAAGGTGACAGTGCCAGTCTGTACCTGCCAGCGCCCTCCTGGGTGGGGGAGCCTGGGGTGGGGACTGTCGCCCGGGGTGGCTTGGTGCTTGGGCACCCTGCTCAGGCCCATCCTGGGTACCCACCTCGTTGATGAAGTTGCCGATGTCCCCGGGGTGGGGCACCACGGGCCTGGCTGGGTACTGGGGCTCTGCCCCCACAGGCCTCTCGTCCACCCGCCGGACCCCGGGGGCCTTGCTGAGCACGTGCTCCATGGTCTCCGGCTGCTGGAGCTGGCTGAGGTCGTAGTCCTGCCGAGTGGGGGTGGGCAGTGAGGAGGCCTCTCCCAGGTGCTCACCCCCTGGACCCAGCCCGCCCCACTGGGAGTCAGTTGGATGGGGAGGCATGGTGAAGGCTCACATTGCTGTCTGGCTGGGAGGAGCAGGAGCCCAGGGCCAGGCTGCATCCTGGGGATGTGACTGTGGGTGGAGAACCAAGGACTGGGTGCCCACGTGTGACATGGGTGGCCTGTGCTGGTGGTGGTGTGGCCCCCATTGGTGGTGTGTCCCAGTGGGCAGCGTGGCCACCATGGGCATGTTACCCCATGGGTGCTGTGGCCCCCATGGGCATGGACCCCAGGGATGGTGGGGCCCCATGGGTAGTGTGGCCCCTGTGGGCATGTGACCCTGTGGGCATGGACCTAGTGGGCGGTGTGGCCCCTGTGCACATGGACCTAGTGGGCGGTGTGGCTCCTGGGGGCATGGACCCCATGGGCGGTGTGGCCCCTGTGGGCATGTGACCCCATGGGCATGGGCCCAGTGGGTGGTGTGGCCCGTGTGCATGGACTCCGTGGGTCGCATGGCCCCAGTGGTCATGGACCCGGTGAGAGGCGTGGCTCATGGGCAGTGTGTCCCCCGTGGGTGCCGCAGACTGCGGCGGCATGCTCACCTGGTCCTCCTCGCCGCCACCCTCCTCATCGTACTTGAGGATGTTGTCACGCACGTCGTCCTCAGGGTCGATGAGCAGCTGCTTGGTGTGGCGCTCCCTCTCCCGCCGCTTCATCCACACCACGAAGAGCAGGACCATGGCTGCGGGCACGCGGGCCATGAGCCGCTGCACACGCGCACACACGCATGGCCCTGTGTATGCAGGTGCGCGTGTGCATGTGTGTGGACACGTGCCTGTGTGTGCTCCTGACGCACACAGGTGCTTGTACAGGTACAAGCGCACACGTGTCCACATATGTGGTGGAGTGCGCTCACCTGTGTGTGCATGTGCAGGGTGCGCGCGGACGCTCACCTGTATGTGCATGTGCATGTGCGGGGCGTGCACGGACCACCCTGTGTGTGCTGTGGTTGCTGAGACGGGCTTTGCTGGGATACTGGTACTGACTCTAGCCCCACCCCCTGTGTCCGCGGCCCCCGCCCCGGCTGCCGGCGCTCACTCAGCAGGATGACGATGCAGATGAGGATGGCCGCAATGGCCCCGGTGCCCAGGCCGGCTGCTGCCACGGCGCCCACGGTGGTGCAGTCGCCGTTCTCGTCACAGGGACACACCTTGACCTTGATGACAGACGTGTTGGACAGCGGCGGGTTCCCGGAGTCGGTGACCATGATGGGCACGTCGTACATGCCCGCCTCCAGGTACAGGATGCGCAGGCTGAGCTGGGCATAGTCACCTGGCCGGAGCGAGAGGGGCGGCATGGACACTGCACACCCGGATGAGGAGGAGACACGCACACCACACCCACAGCACACGCTGACAACACTACACACAGACATACAACACCCCCACCCCCACCCCCACCACCGTCGGCAGCACCATGAGCCACCAGGAGGCGGCGGCAGGGGCCAGGGTGTGGAGTTAGGGCACCCCACGGGAAGAAAGGCGGGGAGATAGTGAGCCTGGTCCCAGGAGCCCTGGGAGAGGGTGCAGTGGTCTCTGCCTGTCAAGGGGGCAAGAATGCCTGTGCCCACGGAGATGGCCGGTGGTGGAGGGTGGGCCTGGGCTCTGCTCCCGTTAGAGGGTGGACCCCGTTGGGTTGGGCCACATCTGAGAGGGGAGGACCGGCCCAGGTGATGTCCGTGTACACGTGCTGTGCCACCAGCTTCTGGCTCTCGGGTGGGCCACGCCGCTGCTCACCGTTGAGGCGGGTGACGGTCCAGTTCCTGCGCACGGCGGTCGGCACAAAAGGCAGCTCGAAGACGTAGGGCCCGACGTTGGGGTCGATGTCGGCGTCGGCCGCCGTGATGTTGACGGTGTGGAGGCCTGGCTGCTCGCAGACCTGCGCCTCTGTGGGCAGCAGCTCGGGGGCGTGGTCGTTGGTGTCGATGAGGTAGATCCGCAGCGTCCCCGTGCCGCTGGCCGGGGGGCTTCCTGCGGGGACGGCATGCTTGGTTCCCACGGCCCACCACAGGACAGGCGCATGGGCTCGGACACGGACACACACGGGACACACAGCCCCACACAGCATAGACACAGACATACAGCCCCACACAGGACAGACAAACGGACACACAGCCACACACGGACACAGAGCGCCACACAGGACAGCCCCACAGACACACAGCCCCACACAGGACAGACACATGGACACAGCCTCACACAGTACAGACACACGGACATACAGCCTCACATAGGACAGCCCCACAGACACACAGCTCCACGCAGGATAGGCACACAGACACACAGCCCCACACAGGACAGACACATGGACACACAGCCTCACACAGTACAGACACACGGACACACAGCCTCACACAGGACAGCCCCACAGACACACAGCTCCACGCAGGATAGGCACACAGACACACAGCCCCACACAGGACAGGCACACGGACACAGCCCCACAAAGGACAGGCACATGGACATAGCCCCACACAAGACAGACACACGGACACACAGCCCCACACAGTACAGACACATGGACACACAGCCTCACACAGGACAGACACATGGACACACAGCCCCACACAG